ATTTGCCTTGAGGACATTGGGATTAGATGGGAGAGAGGCAAAATCTCACCATGTACCACTGCTTGGGGAACCAGGGATCTGTGGGCACCACGCTGACGCCTCTCTTGGCGCGACTCTTCACCGTTTGCTGCTCAAACCAGAGAACCTGGGTGGGAAGCAGCGATGTTGGCACCGTGTGTGTTCCCATAGGGTCACCCTATGCCCTGCCCTGGGTCCGTCGTGCAGCCCAGCCCCTACCTGTGGCTCCCTGCTCAGCCGCAGGCTCCAGCCCCAGTGCCTGCTTAGGGACGTCTGCCTGGAGCCACGGTGCTGGAAGTGGTAGTAGGGCTCTTCCTCCAGCACCTGCAGTGAGGGCTGAGCTCAGGGGCTGCACGGAGATGGGTGGGGAGGTGGGGATGTGTGCGTGCCAGCTCTGCTGGGTTGGGATGCGTGTTCAAACTCTGCAGGGCTGCAGATCACAGAACTGTAGGGGCTGGAAGGGACATCTAGAGATCATCGAGTCCAAACCCTCTGCCAAAGCAGGCTCATTAGACCAGGGTGGTACTGGAAGAGAGGATGCTCTGCAGGATGGGGGGTTTGTGCATGGGCTACCTGTGCTTGTGTGGTGGCTGCAAGTAGCTGTGCAGCCCTATAGGAACTCGTGTACCCCTACACAGCCCTACATCCCACCTACAACAGGTCACAGAATCACAGAACAACAGAATGGCCAGGGTTGGAAGGGACCTCAAGGATCACGAATCTCCAACCCGCTGCCACACGCAGGGCCACCAACCTCCACATTTCACACCAGCCCAGGCTGCCCAGGGCCCCATCCAACCTGGCCTTGAACACCTCCAGGGATGGACGGGGCATCCACAGCCTCTCTGGGCAGCTGTTCCACCACTCTCATAGCAAAGAACTTCCCCCTCAATCTTCCCTCCCTCAACTTAAAGCCATTTCCCCTCGTCCTGCTGTTATCTCCCCTTCCAAAGAGCTGACTCCCCTCCCGTCTGTAGGCTCCCTTTAGGCACTGAAAGGCTGCCCTGAGCTCACCCCGCCGCCTTCTTTCCTCCATGCTGAACAAGCCCAGCTCCCTCAACCTATGTGTCGGACCTCACCTTCCCCACGCACAGCATCCCGTGCCGCTTTGCCAACCGCCCCGCATCCCGCGGCCCCGCCTCCACCCGCACGGCCCAGCTGCTCGTGTAGACTCGGGGCCGGGCTGCGGGCAGACCCTGCGGGAGCCCCAAACCCCCCCTCAACCCCAAACCCAGCAGCAGCCGCAGCCCCCACGCCGCCCCCAGACCGCGCGGTGCCGCCATGCCCCGCGATCGGCTCCCGTTGCCACGGACACGGCGACGCCACCCGCCCGCCCCGCCCCGCACAGCGCCGCATTGGACCCGGGGCGGCGCGGGGCTGAGCGGAGCCCGCAGCCATGGGCTCCGTGCAGCAGCGCCTGCAGCGCTTCCTCGACCGTCCCGGGCCGCTCTCCGATTTCCTCGGCCGCCTGGAGGCTCGCACCGGCATCCGCCGGCTCTACCTGGCCACAGGTGCGCCTTCGAGATCCTTTTTTTTTCCCCCAGCTCAGGACCCCTCCCCCTAATTTCGGCTGCCCCCTGCCCTCGGGTGCGCTGACAGCTCCACGCTGCCCAGCCCGGGGCTCGGCTGCTGCCCAGGGGGGCCGTTGTGTGTTTTGGGGGGGTGGCAGCCCCCTCCCCTTCCCCACATTCCTTCCTTTCCCCCCTCCCCTCCCAGCTCCACATACCGCTGGGTGGGTTTCACAGCCATGCCCAGGCTCGGTCCCCACATCCCCCTGCCCTGGGGAAGCCCAGCTGCGGCGTGGGACCAACCCCAACCCCCCCCCCCCCCCCCCCAAGCAGGAGGGCAGAGGTCTGCTCGTTAACCAGATGCTGTTTGTTCATTAATGAGAAACCAGAGATATCTCCCCGGGGAGCTGATCCAGGCACCACTTGACCCCTCGGCGTGGCTGTCACCTCAGCCTTGGCCACGTTTGTTCCTTGGCCCCGTTTATGACTTGCCATCTGCCTCCGCATTTCCGTATGGAACCTCCTGGGGGGGATCTGGGTTTCCCTGCTGTGCTCCCAGCCCGGTTCCTGGCCCCGTGGCTGCTGTAGAACTTGGCTGCTCCGCTGGGAGATGCATGCAGGAGCAGACACGTGTTTGGAGCAGTGCTGGGCTGTCAGATGCCTGCTGCTGGGGCTCTGGTTGCACTTTGGGCTGTGGGTGATGGGGACAGAGCAGCAGCATTGCTCCTGCAGCACAGCTCCGGTGTCTGGAAAGGTGAAGCTGGTGCTCAACAACAAATATCGGATTTCTTCTTCTCTTCCCCCTGCTCTGCAACAGTCCCTCATTTCTGCTGGGACCCAGAAGGGGCTGCTTGGTACCCTTTAAACCAGCACAGACTCAGCAGCTGCCTCTGGGCAGCACAGCCAGGTGAAGGGCACCTCAGAGGAGGACAGCATCCCCTCTGCAACACACCTGCAGGCTGCCTGTGCTCCTGGCTGGGGAAACCTCTCTGCCAAGCTCTGTGGCCAAGCCTTGCTCTCCATTCTGCGAAGATCTTCAGTGACCTCCCATCCCACATGGGAGGCAGGGATGGGGCTCTGGGGTTGGTTGCCTTGGGGCAGCTCCTCCACCAGCCTGGTCAGGGTCCGTAGTGCACAGAATCCCTTTCTCTGCTGGATTTTTCCTCCTTCTGTGCTCACACTGGTGTCATTGTAGGTTTAGGACCCCAGGATGTGTCTCCTTCCTGCCCTCCTTCACACAAGGCTCCTCTGTGCAAGCTGAGCCTCTCCTTTGTGTTTTGCTCTTACATAAATTTCTCTGGGGGCTAAACTTAGCCCATGAAATCCATTCTAAGGCTCTTTAGGGAATGAAACCCGGAGCTGCCCAAACCTGCCTGCTTGTTTCCCTCGGAGGGAAGCTGTGACTGCTCCCACGAGCTGGGAACAGCGCCCATCTCCTTGCAAAGCCCCAGGGCCCAGAGGTGCCCATGCCAGCACTGAGCTGCTGCTGTGAGCAGTGCAGGGATGAGCCGTCCTCTGTGCCCCTTTCCTTTAATTCATTGCTACAGACAGGCTAAGTCCCAGGTGTAGGATAAGGCGCTTATGCTGCTGGCAGTGTTGTAAGCAGGGCGTGCAGGAGCTGAGATGCCGTTGGGGTGGCACAGAAAGCACCAGAGCTGCGTGCTCTGCTCCACCACAGCGGTGGTTTGGCAGCAAGTGCTCCTCTGATGCAGCACCTGGGGACTGGGCAGGTGCCAAACAGCCGCCGCTTTGCCTCGTCTTTAATTTAACAAGTTAATTTAATGACAGGGAAACTGGATTGCTGGCTCTCAGGGGGGCTGAATCCTAACACGCTCAGCACAAGCACACACAGGGTAGTGAGCAGAGGGCAGCAGGGAGGCATGCATCTCCCACCTGGGGCTGCCTCCATCCCCCTGAATGCGTTCTGTTTGCTATGGACAAATCCAGGCCAGGGAGGGGACCAGTGGCCAAAGCCACAGGGGACAGTGACCAAAGCAAAGCCTGGTGTGTGCACCCCTTCCTCCCAGCAATGCAGCTCTGCACAGCTCCCCATGCTGAACCCCTGGCTCTTGGTTCTGTCCTGCAGGTTCCCTAGCCTTCCTGGGGCTGTACCTGGTGTTTGGCTACGGTGCCTCACTGGTCTGCAACCTCATTGGCTTCGCTTACCCTGCATATGTCTCGTAAGTACTGATTCTACAGCCCTGGATGGGCAACGTGAGGAGGGCAGGGTGCACTCCAGGACCTGCTGTGGGGCAGGGCTGGGGATGTGGGGAGGCTGGAACAGACCTGCAGAAGCATTTAGACCTGTCCCCTCCCTCCCACAGCATTAAAGCCATCGAGAGCTCCAACAAGGACGATGACACCACGTGGCTCACATACTGGGTGGTTTATGGAGTCTTCAGCATAGCCGAATTCTTCTCTGACATTTTCCTCTACTGGTTCCCCTTCTACTACGCTGGGAAGGTAACGCCTTCATGGAGGCACGGGGGCTGCAGGTGCCGGAGCACTCCCCTTTATGGCTGAGTTCTTGGGGTTCATCTCTCGAGCTTTGGGGCCTCCAGAGATCTCCAGCCTCGGGCAGGAGGGAGCGGAGCAGCCCAGCAGCTGCACTGCCATCCCAACCCAGCTCTGCAGCTCCTCTCCCCCCAACAGTGCCTGTTCCTGGTGTGGTGCATGGCCCCGGTGTCCTGGAATGGCTCACAGGTGCTCTACCACAACGTCATCCGACCCTGTTTCCTCAAGCACCACCGTGCTGTGGACTCAGTGCTCGGCGACCTCAGCACCAAAGTCCTGGATGCAGCTTCTGCCATCACCAGAGAAGGTAATGTGGGTCCATTCCCCCCCCCTACCTCAGCCTGGGGCAGCCCTCAGTGCCCCACACCCCTCCTGTCCCCCAAAACGGCCGTAGCCCCATCCCAGCCGTGATGGCAGCCCAGCCCTTCTCGTCGTCTCTCTTCTTCCTACGCCTCCCGGAGCAGTTCTGCACACTCTGCTCAGCAGCAGAGCCCGGCTGGCTGCCCAGGTCGCCCCGCAGCTCAGCGTGTCCGTACGTAACAGCCACATTTCCAACGCCGGCACGAAGCCCACGCCCCGCCGCTGCCAGCCCCGCTCCTCCAAGCCCCGCTCCTCCCTTTAAGCCCCTTTGCTGCAGTCCACCCGGCTCTCCCCCCTCCCGCAGCCCCGCGCTCTCCCGTCCCGTCGGGTTCATTGCGGGCTCCGGCGCCCACCGGCGCTCTCTCTTTCCCGCAGCCTCCGGGGCCGCCGTGAAGCTGGCACAGGAAGAGAAGAGCAAATGAGGCACCGGGACGAGGCCGGTCTGAGCCCGGCCTCCGCCCCCCCGGGCCCGTCCTCGTCTCGGTTCCCCCCCCCCCCAAGTAAAGCTGTTCCCGATCCACTCCCGTCTGCTCCACGCGCTCCGTGCCGGCACGGCGCCTTTAAGAGGGGGCGTGGCTTCGTGCGCGGGTGTTGGCGCGGAGATGACGTCATCGGTGCGCGCCCGAAAGGAGGGGCGCGCGTGGGGTGGTGGAGGTACGGCGGTACGGCGGCCGGGAGGGGCGGTTTGGCCGTCTGTCCGTCTGTCCTGGGGTGGGCGGGGGAGGTCTGTCCGCCTGGCGGCGGGGAAGGGGAACTATCTGTCCGTCTGTCTGTCCACGGAGCGGGGAGGAAGGCTTCGTCCTGAAGGAGCGAGAGCGTTCAGGGGTGTGTCTGTCCGTCCGTCCGTCCGTAAGTCTGTCCGGGGAGCGGGGTCGGTGTGGGGGGTGGGGGGACGCGTGTTCCCTCAGCGGGCAGTGTGAGAGGCTCTGTCTGTCCGCCTGTCTGTTTGTCGGGGGGCAAAGATCCCGAGGCGGGGAAGGAGTGACCGTGCTGAGGCTGCGTATGTCTGTCTGTCTGTCTGTTTGTCCGTCCGGGAAAGGGTCGGTCTGTCCGCCTGAGGGAGGGTCGGTCGGCCGGTCTGTCCGTTCACGGGCGTGGATGGGGGGAGTCTATCTGTCTGTCTGTCTGTCTGTCTTCCTGGGGGTTCGGGGAGGGCGGGCAGCCATCTGCCCGTGGGGTGAACGTCCGTCTGTCCCGGCTGTGAGCCTCCCTTCCCTCTCAGAGCCCCGCCATGAGCTCCAAGGCCAAACGGGTGTTGCCCACCCGCCCTGAGCCGCCCACCGTGGAGCAGCTCCTGGCCGACGTGCGGGGCGCACCCCCGGCCGACCCCGTCCTCCTGCTCCCGGCTGAGCCTCCCCGGGGCAGCGGCGGTGACCGTGACGGCCCCGCTCCAGGTGAGCCCCACGGCAGCAGCAACGGGCGGGGAGCCGGGAGCACCGAACCCAAAATTGAGCCCCTCCACGCCTCACAGGGCAGGAGGACGGCGTGGAGGAACAGGAGCGGCTGTACCGGCAGTGCCGCGGTTACGTGGAAATGAACCGGCGGCTTCGGGAGGCGCGCGGGGAGCTGGCAGAGAAACGTGACGAACTGCAGAGGGCGGGCATGGCACTGGAGAGAGACATCGCCGAGATGCGGCAGAAGGCGTTCTGACGTCGGGACACAGCACCGCCCGGGGGTCTCACCGGGATCCCCCCCTGCCCCTGCCTGCAGCCCAGCCTTTATCCCCACCACGTGGCTGTGTGAGCAGCTCTGCTCCCTGCCAGCACCATGTCCACACGCCATCGCTTCACCTATGACTTCTCCATCTGGTACTGCCCTGAGGACCACGCCGTCGCCTCCATCATCGCTGAGTTCTTGATGAAAAAGGGCTTCCGAGGCTACTTGGAGCACTGGGACCAGGTGGCCGGCACCCCGGTTGTGCTGAGTGCCACTGAGGCCATCGGTGCCAGCAGGGTTGGCATCCTCCTGCTCTCCCCCACATCCGTGGGGGATGCGTGGTGCCAACGTGTGTCCGAGTGGAACTTGCAGCACGTCGTGGAGCGCGGTGGCACCAAGGTGCTCCCCGTGTGCCTGGGGGTGAGGAAGGAGGAGGTGCCACCCTTCCTGCAGCACCTCACCCAGCTGCAGTATCAGACCCCTTTCTTCTTCGAGCGGCTGCTGCGGAGCCTGGCAGCATCCCAGGCCCTACCAGGAGAGCCGAGGAGAGCTGAGAGCTGAGGGGCAGCTGGGGGTGGTGGGTGGGGGTCTTGTGGTGCGGCGCCACTGGTGGGAGCAGGGGGGTGGGAATGGGACACCGTGATGGGTGCACGCAGTGGGACACTGCAGTGGTGTGCTTGGGGGCTGTGGTTATCACAAACCTCGACGAATCCTCAATAAAACCCTTCTTGGGAAGTGGGATGTGATTTCCTTGGTGAGGATGGGAAGCAGGCTGTGGGGGGGGGGGGGGGGGGGGGGGGGGGGGGGGGGCTGCCTGTCCCTGTGGGTTGGTTGGAGCTGTTTCTCTGTGGTGTTATTTCACACCTGCAGATGTTCACTCTGCTTCCCCCCTTCCTGTATGCTGCACGTCATCGCAGCCCTCTGCCCCGGCCTCGCAGCCTTGCAGCTCTTTGCACAGAGCAGGAGCAGCATGGAGAGGAGCGCAGTTCTGGGGCTGCTGCTGCTGGCACTGCCTGACCCTGGGCTGGGTGAGCAATGCAATGGGGCTGGGGTGGCCGATGGGGCTTCTGTGTCACTGCAGGGAGCAGCAGGGCGCAGGGGCAGCCATCCCCACTCAGCAGCAGCTGTGGGATGGGCTCCCCCTCCCCTGGTAGCACGGTCACATCTGCTCATCATGGGGGGACACGAGGCCAAGCCCCACTCCCGGCCCTATATGGTGTCAGTGCAGTCCAGGGGGGTGCACGCCTGCGGGGGGGCACTGCTGAACCCACGCTGGGTGCTGACGGCTGCACACTGCATCCCACGGAGGTGAGCACTGTGTCCCATCCCATCCCTCATCCCACCCCACCCGCTGCTGGGCTGGGGTTTGGAGGGGCACCGTGTGGATGCGCGCTGTGTTCCGCAGTGCCGACGTCTCCAGGATGATGGTGGTGGTGGGGCTGCACCGCCTGCGGGAGCGCAGGGGCACCCAGAGCTTCTCCATCCGCACTGCCTGTCCCCACCCCGGCTACGACAGCCAGACGATGGAGAATGACCTCCTCCTCCTGCAGGTGGGGACGGTTGGTGCCAGGAAGTGCCACGAGTGGGGAATTCACACCGCGCCGCAGCACGGGGCCGGGTGACATTTCCTTTCACACCTCCGAGCACTTTCACATCTGGGTGACATCTCAGCCGGGTTATGTCTCATCCGGGTGACATCCACCCGCTCTCACCCCGGGCGATGCGGTGACGCCGCTGTGACGGTGAGCCCTGACGCTGCCCCGCACTGCCCACAGCTGGAGGGGAAGGTGAAACGCAGCAAAAGGCACCGACCCATCGCGCTGCTGCGGCGGGAGCCGGCGGCGGGCACCGTGTGCAGCCTGGCAGGCTGGGGTGGGCGACGAGGGCTGGCAGCCGCGCTGCAGGAGCTGGAGGTGGCCGTGCTGGACACGAGGATGTGCAACAACAGCCGCTTCTGGAACGGTGACCTCACACCCACCATGATCTGCTTCCAAGGCCGTGGCCGCGGCGAAGCCCCCACCAAGGTGAGGAGCTGGGAGGGGGGGGGATGGGGTTTGTGCGGGGCTGTGATGCTTTGTGCCAGGCTGTGCCATCACCATCACTCCTACAGGGTGATTCTGGAGGTCCCCTGGTGTGCGGGCGCCCGGCGGCGGTGGCGGGTGTGATGTCCTTCAGCAGCCCCGACCCTGCTGACCCCTTTAAGCCCCCAGTGGCCACCTCAGCAGTGAAGCACCGTGTGTGGATCCGGCGCACGCTGCGGCGCGGCTGCAAGGCACAGATGGAGCAGCCCCAGCTATTTACACAGGTTTGCATTTAATTTTTTAATACTGTCCAGAGTCCTGGTAAAATAACATCCTTAGTACATACATACAGCAACAGGGGGATGGGACACCACAAACCCAGCGCGATTCCACACAGATGGGGACGAAGCCGACGGTCACACATAGGGCAGATGGGTGGCAGCAGGGCTGGGATGGTGGCACTGACACCCGGGGCCACAACCACATGTGTGGGGTGATGCTGGCATTCTGCACGTGGGTCCTGTTCTGGGTTATGGCCATCAGGAGGAGACAGGGCGTCCACAGGGGGGCTGTGGCCCTATTTCTTGATCTCTATGCGCATCCCTGTGTCCCCTACATGTCCCCATATCTCCCTGCCTGTCCCTGAAGACACCCATAGGGCACCTGGTGGTGTTGGTCCCTTGAGGCCCCGCAGATCAGCCCAACCAAAGGCATGAGTGGGCAGTGAGGAGGGACTGGGGGACACGTGGGTGGCTGGGGAGCACCCAGGTCGGGAAGGGGGACGCTCAGCAGCCCACCCTGGGGTGCACAGGACCAGCTGGCAGCAGGGTGTGCACCTCCTGCTTGTGGGCGTAATCCAGTCCTGGATGGACCCGTGTCCACGCTGTGCAGGCACCTCACTGCCAGCTGTGCTGGGGGCTGCATGCTGCGGGGGGGGGGATGGCCCAGACCCTTCCCTTGGGATTGGGCACCCCAGTGCCACCTCTGCACTCTGTGTCCTCCCCAGGGCAGTCCGCAGCTCAGTGACAAAGCAGCCGGGACCCCGACGAGCACCCAGCCCTGATGAGCACCAGAGCAGAACCCTGTGAGCACCACTGCCAGCACTCAGCCAGCACCCTCATTAGGAGCAGCACAGATGGGACCCAGCCCGGCCCCACACCTCGCGATTTGTCCCGCGGGGTCCCTCCCTGCTTCACTCTGGCTGCGTATCCCCGAGATGAGGTGACCCCGTCCCCGCAATAAAGGCTCTGCGATGCCTGGCGGTGCCGTGCCGGTGCGCGAGCTGAAGCGTGCAGCGCGAGCCTGGCGTTAAGGCTTTGCTTGTTGTGGTTCTGGGTTGTGGGGACGACCACAGGGCTGCAGTGCCCCGGGGGCTCCCATCGGCACTGAGAAGCGCTTGGCTGCAGGGATCGGTCCCCACCCACGGGGCTTCGCCTGGTCTTCAGCACGGGAACCTTTGGAGCTGCGTTGGAATAAACCCCATCTGGGTTGGGGAGGGGTCCCGGCTGTCCCACGTCTCCATCCCCGCGGGCAGGAGGTGTCCGTCGGGGTCCGTCCGTGGCAGCCGCTCACGCCTGGATTTTCTCCACTGCTTTGTCAGCCACTGCCGGCACCGCCATGGGGCTGGGGACGTAATTGAAGGGGGTGACGCGGGCGGCGCGGCTCGGGGAGCTGTGCCGGCTGGCGGGGAAGGTCCCGGCCGGCGCCTCGTGCCCGAAGGAGATGGGCAGGGTGGCCTTGGTGGGAGCCGGGGCTTCGCCATCGTGCCGGGGGCTCTCCATTGTGGGCGAGGTGCTGGAGTTGGTCTTGGTGGTGGCGAAGTCCTCGGTCTGCACCACGGCGTCGCTGGTCTTCCTGGGGCCGGGGAGCGGCTCCTCGGCGGCGCTGAGCAGCGGCAGCGCGGTGGAGGGCAGCGTGCTCTGCAGGATGTGCGGGATGTCCTCATCGCGGATGCGTCGCCACGTGCCTTTCATCATCGCCATCGGCGGTTTCTCCTCCGTCGCCTCACCGGGTTTCCGCCGCCGCGCCGACGCCTCGGAGCAAGCGGAGAGGACGGAGGACGGGCTGCCGGTGCGGCGCGGCACGCTGATGTTGGGCGATGAGGAGTACCGCTTGAAGGGCTCTGGGACGGCCGTCTTCACCGGCAGCCTGGAGGGGCTCTCCGAGCTGGTCCTGCGCGGGGGCTTGGATGCGGCGGGGGCTTTGCAGCCGGGCTGCGCCCTGGGGACGAGCGGCCGCGGTGCGGGCGCTGCTGGTTTGGCCGCCTTCAGCTCCTCGCAGCGGGACGAGCAAAGGAAGACGGTGGGGAGGGCGGCCCGGCTGCGCTGCGGGGACGCACCGCGGGGCAGTGAGGTGGCCGGGGTGGCCGGGCCGAGCTCGGCGCGGTGCCGCAGCAGCAGGCTGGAGGACTCCTTGATGAAGGTGAGCTGCCGCAGGAAACCCGAGCGGTCCGAGTCGCTGCCGCTGGAGCGAGCGGATGACATCCGCACCAGGTTGAGCCGGCTGCTCCCCGCCCCCCCCGGCGTGCTGCCCTTCGCCTTGCCGCTGCCCTCCTGCTCCTCCAGCACCGGCATGGCCGAGCGCACCGGCAGCACCTTCCTGCTGGGCTTCTGCATGAAGGGGATGCGGACGGGTGACTTCTGCGTCTTGTGCTGCCGGGGGGCCGGGGATCTGGGGGCCGTGGGCTTGGCCGAGGGGCCGGGTGGGGAAGGGGGGCCGGTCGTCTTGCCCGTCTGCACGGGGCTCTGCTTGGAGAGCTGCGAGGGTGACGGCAGCTTCTTGGGCACGTGCTGCGAGGGCGTGGAGGTGCGGGACGAGCCCGAGGACGGCGGCCCCTTGGCGATGCGGGCAGGAGGCGTGGTGCTGCGCTTGGGCAGAGTCAGGTCCCCCCCATCGGGCGGCTTCCCCAGGCGGTGCAGGCTGCGGGATCGCTGCTGGCTCAGCGACAGATTCTTGGGCGCCGGGGGTTTGGCCGTGGGGGATTTCTTTGGGGTGGAGCGCGGGCTGGGCGCGTCCTTGGCCAAGCTGGGCATGTAGATGACGGTCCTGCCGCGGAAAACCACCGGCAGGTTGGGCACGGGCTTGCTCGGTGCTGGGCTCCTCTCTGCCCTCGCATTGCCGGCAGGACGGGCGCTCGGCGCCTTCTTCGCCTCCGGGCGGCTCTTGGCTCGCTCCCTCCTCTCCGTCTCCCGCCCGGCCGCGCTTCCAGAGCGTTTCTTCTCAGCCCTGTCCAGGGAGAGCTGCAGAGTGGAGCCGACTGAGAGCCCTGAGACGAAGGAGAGGATGGAGTCAGACTCGGAGGAAGGCTCCCGTGACAGCGACGCCGCAGCCTGGTGCAGCCAGGTGACGATGGAGTTGGCTCCCTCCTGGATGGCCTCCCACTCCACGCTGTCCAGGTCGGAGCCGCCGTCGGAGCCTAAATCGTCGGAGCGATGCCTGCCCTCTGCCGGGCGCTCCCTCCCAGTGCTGCCCTTCAGCTTCTGCTTCCTCTCCGCCGTCCTCCTCCTCGTCGAGGGCCGCCGGCGCTTGGGCATGGCAGAGCCGATGCACTTCTGCAGGAGATCGTCCTCCGAGTTGGGGCTGGGGGAGCGGCCCTGCGCCTGCCCCACTGCTGCGCGCTGCCGGGGAGCTGAACCACACTCCTCACCCTCGCCAGGGTTGCCATCACTCAGGGAGCTCATGGAGGAGCTCAGCGAGTAGCACGGCGGTGTCTCATCAGCAATCAGGTTGTGTTGCAGCTTGCCCTTCGCTTTGCCCTTCGTCTCAGGCTCCCTCCTTGGCACGGAGCCCCCGCAGCGCTCCCTCCGCAGCGCCCGGCCGGGCTGTGCTCCGCCTCCGGGCACCTCCTTGCCCAGTCCAGGCTCATCCGAGTCGTGCTCATAGAAGCAGTAGACGGCTTCTTCAGTCGGCGTGGTGTGGCACAGTGACTGGAAGGCCGCCCCTTCCTCCCGCATGCCATCCTTCCTCCCAGGCAGGCTGCAGGGCCGCGTCCCAGGGCTGCCGCTCCTCCCCACCTCCGGCTCCGTGCTGAGCACGGGCTGTCCCCGCTTCCCCTCCGCACCTCTACCCGGTGGCACAGGGCTGTCCCGGCTGGAGCCTGCCCTGCCCCTGCAGGCTGAGCTGGGCCGTGCGTGCGCTGAGCCGCCCAGAGCAGATCTCCGTGCTGGCGATGCCGCGGTGCCCATTTCTCGTCTCCTCCCCGCACCGTGGGGGAGCTCAGCCTCCTCCTTAGGGCCACGCAGGGTCTCATCGCTCAACGAGGCGGTGCTGGAGAAGTTGACGGGGGTCCCATCAGCCGAATCGGTGTAGGAGTCATCATCCTTGTAGAGCTCCCGGGCGGTGGCACGGAGGTGCTTGGGGATAGCAGTGTGTGTGGGCACCAGCATGTAGACAGGGACGTGGACCGGTTTCTTGGTGTGTGGGTGCAGGACCTGCCCAGAGAGCAGCGAGCTCTTCACCTTGCGGAAGCGTGAGGGCATGGCAGAGCTGATGCACTCCTTTAGGATCTCAATGTCATCGTCAGAGCTGGGCTCTGCACAGCGTTGGCCCTCCAGGAGCTGCTCCTCTCGCTCCTCCCGCTCCTCATGCACTGCAAAATTCAGGCTGTTCTTCTCGGGGAAGGTGGGCATCAGCTTCAGCTCCACGTCTTTCTGCACGTAGTGCTCGTGCAGCGGCAGGGCGCTCAGGCTGGAGGCGCACGAGAAATTCTCATTGGGTTTCTCCACTGTGAAATAGACCATGGAGTCCAGGTCCTGGGGCAGCTGGAAGCGCTCCTTGAAGTCGGTGATCTCCATGAACTTCTTGACGTTGTTCTCCCACTGGATGTTGAACTGGCTGGTCTCCTTCTCAGGTGGGCAGCCCAGCTCGAAGAGCGGCGTCTTGCTGCGGCTGGGTGGCATGGTCTGCCCAGGGCTGTCGGGCAGCTCGCTGGGGCTGACGGTGCCACTGATCATCTCGCTGCATGGGTCACTCTGGATGGAGCTGGCGATGGATGGGCTCTCAAAGCTGCCCAGAGAGCTGACGGAGCTGCAGCGGCTCATCACCAACGGTGTCTCCTGGATGTAGTTCTCCGAGGAGCTGGAGGGAGTGTGGTCCTCCTGGCGGGAGGGCGATGCATCCCGCAGGAAAAGCTTGTCACGTTTGGGGAAGGGGATGGTGATGGGCTGGGAGATCCCCACCGGTGTTGTTGGACCCATCTCTGTCTTCTCCTTCTCCTGCCTCATGTCCTCAGCTTCCCCATCCCCTTCATCCATCTCCAGGATCTCCAGTGAGGAGTCGCTGTCCAGGTCATTCTCGCTGTGGCTCTGCCCATCCAGCACATTGTCGGCTGAGGAGAGGGAGGAGAGGGAGCTGCAGCGGGAGAAGCAGATGGGGGTGTCCTCCACCGAGTATTTCTGCACCGACTCCTGCTCGGCCGGGGCCAGGGGCTGGGCTGGCAGCTTCTCAGGGATCTTGCTGAGAGTGTCGGCTGTTTGCAGGAGGGCCGGGGGCAGCCAGGCTTGCTTCCTTCCCAGCAGCGAGGGGTGGTGGCTGATGGCTGTGCTGCTCTTGGCCAGGCTCCCGAGCAAGGGCACGTGCTGGTATGAGGGCGAGAGCTTGATGGTGTGCACCTGTGGGTCAGTAGGCAGCTTGCCACCCACCTCCTTCTTCCTCCCAGTCTCCAGCGCTTTGGGACTGGGGAAGGTCACCGCCTTCCTGCCCCGCTCCGGTGCCTCCCTCTGCTCTGGCTTATCCGGCTCAGCCCTGAGCACAGGGGGGTCAGGTTTGGTGCCCAGGATGCTCTTGAGGTCGAGCCTGCTGGGTCTCTTCTGGTAGCGTTGCAACTCATCCCTATAGTCAAGAAAGGGAGCCCTGGTGCAGGGCTTCATGTGCTCCTTGGGGCAATAGCCATCGCTGGTGCTGCCGCTGTTGAGGCTGTCTGTGGACAGGCTGGTGTACGCCGTCTTCAGCCGCAGCAACGCGCGCGCCCGGCTCAGTCCCTCACGCCTGGCAGAGCCACCGGTGTCCGAGAGACGGCACGGGGAGCAGGAGTGGGCGCGCACCTCGGGCGGCTCCTCGGGGCCGTACTGCCAGTCCAGGCCGTGGTCCTCCGAGCTGAGGCTGAAGCTGTCATCCGAGGACGTGTGCATGGTGGAGATGTCCTCCACCAGCTTGTCGATCTTGGCCACCGTGCTGGAGATCTTGTTGGCCAGCTTCTCAGCGGCCAGAGAGACGTCGTCTTCGGGCAGTGGCGGCTTCTTGGGCTCTGCTGGCTTCCCACCATCATCCTTCTCTGGTTCTGGGCACCGTCTGTGTGCCAGAGCCCGCGGCAGCGCCTGGCCCTGCAGGAAGGAGGAGCCCAGGAACATGGAGAGGACGGAGGCGCTGGCTGTCTCCACACCAGTGGAGATGTTGGGCACCTCATCGTCATCGAAGCAGCCCGAGTCGGAGGCGTAATCCTTCACCAGGCTCTCCATGTGCCGCAGCGGCTTCTTGGCGCTCTGGCTCTTCAGGCTCTGCTTCTCCATGGTGTCAAAGGTCTCAGCCAGATGTTTGGCATCCAGCTCGGCCTCCAGCGCCTTCTGCTTGCGCATGTACAGAGATGGCATGCAGGAGCCCGGCGAGACAACGGCCGTGTCCTTGTACTTGGGGGGCCGGTTGGTGAGCAGGTTGCGGAGCGCAGCCGCGCTGCCCATGGCGATCATCTTGTGCTTGGAGTGGATGAGGTTGCGCAGCATGCTGACCGCCCCCAGGTCCCAGAGCAGCTCCTGGTCGCGGGGGCTGCGGGCAGACAGGTTCCAAAGCGTGCCACAAGCATTGCTGACGATGGTGAGGCTGTGCGAGCGCAGGTGCTGCAGCAACGTCTGCAGGCAGTTGTGGTCCCGGAGCACCTGCCTGTGGGATGGGAGGGACAGAGTGGAACGGGATGGGATGGGGAAGTCCAGCCATCAGCACAACATGTACCCCCAACCCCACACAGAGCCCCCCAACCTGTAGTCCTCGCGCGTGGCGATGAGGCTGGAGACGTTGCGCAGGATGCCGCCGCCGCTCTCGATGATGGCCAGCGAGTTGCTCTGGCACTTGTAGGTGAGGGTGCTGACCAGGAAGCCCAGGGCCCCCTCCACACTGCAAATGGCGGCTTTGTTCTCTGTGCTGTGTGCTGACAGGTTCCACAGTGCGCTCAGGACACTCTTCAGTGTGGACTCCTGTGTGGGGAGGGGGGTGTCAGCCCCAGCCGTGCTGCAGTGCCCACCCCCATCCGCCCCGGCTCTCACCTTGGCCGCGTGCAGCGCGCACTGCGTCAGCCCCGCCACGCTGCCCACCTCCCGCAGCACCTTCTTGCTGTTGATGTCGGCTCTCCAGGAGAGGTTCCTCAGGATGCTTGATACCACCTGGGTGAGAGGAGCACACGGGGCGTGTGGGCACGGCACCATCCCTGTGACGGGCACCATCCCCACACCTCTCCATCCTGGCGGCACCCACCTGGTGCAGCTCCTCGCTGTCGGAGCCCAGCTGGGCCACAATGGCCTCCATGCAGCCCCGGCGTGAGCACAGCGTTGCCTGCAGGGAGATATGTGTGCTGAGCCCCATGCTGCCCCACTTCTCAGCACCCCCTTGGCCCCACAGACCTTGTTGACCACATCCCCAAAGGTGAGGTTGGTGAGGGCCATCCCTGCGTAGCGCCGCAGCGCCAGGTTCAGGGGATCGCTCGTCATCTTGTGCATCTCGTAGTCCACCTGCAGCAGCTCAGCCACTGCCTGCAGCCCACCTGTGGGATGGGATGGGGTCACAGTGGCCAGGCTCCCCCTGGGAACCTGCTCTCCAGCATCGCTGCTCTCACCCCATCCCACCCCTTACCCAGCTCGTTCATGGCACGCCGGTACTCCTCATCGAAGGAGAGCTTCATGATGGCACAGGTGGCCTGGCAGATTTGGGGCTCGATGGGCACCGGTGCTGTGGGGACAATGGGGAGTGATGTGGCCAGCTGGGTGCTGGCACACACGGACAGCATCACCTCCTCCTCCAGCACACACTGACACATGTGCTGTGCACACCAACGCGTGCACACACACCCTTGCACACACACACACACCACTCTGCACCTCCCTGAACACCTCTGTCCAGCCCTGCCCAGCCCCATACCCGTGCTGCCCTCGGGCCCTTTGCCCCCATCCCTGCTCTGCATCTGCAGCCAATCCCAGCAGGTCTCCGAGTAGGAGCGGATCTGCTCCAGCACGTGCAGCACCCGCATCTCCTTCTTGGCCTGCCCCTCGTCGGGCTGCGAGAAGACGATGTTGTGCAGCGCGGCGTTGGCGCGCATGCGGGCATCCTTGGCACTGGTGGGGCTCTCGGGGGGGCCAGGCTCACGGTCGGAGTCGTGCAGGATCTGGATGAGCAGCGGCAGGCAGCCCGACTTGCGCATGGCCAAGCAGCTCTCCTGTGAGCTGGACATGGCCAGCAGCGTGCGCGACATGTCGTCCTTGTCCCTCGTGGCCAGCATGGACAGCAGCCAGAAGACCACCTCCACCTGCAGGGGGGTCGGGTTAGGCATCACCATGACCCCTCCAACCCCTGCTTGGTGCAGCTGCCCCTCACCTTGCTGCTGCCCCCGTCCTCAGGGTGCGTCGGGACGTCCACGCTGCCGTCCTCCTCTGTGCCCGGCAGCTTTGTGCAGAGCTGGGGAGCACACGGGGGGGTTGCACGATGCCCACTGGTGTCCCCTCCCCGTGGGCCAGCTGCTTTCATGGCCCGAATTGTGCCGGGACACTCAGGAGAGTTTTCTGCTCGCTGCACTTTCTCAAATGGCACCGCAGTGTTTGAAGCTGGATGGGGAACGGCTGCCACCGGGAGGGGTGGGGGAGAGGGGAACAGGGGGGGCAGCGGGGGGCACAGCAGTGCACAACCCACAGCACTGCGAGGGGATGGGGGGAGACCTGTGGGGCCCGAGGACAGCGCTGGAGGGACGGGGTGATGTAGGGGCCGGGGGTGATGGCGAGGGAGGAGCTGGGGTGATGGAGGAGCAGGGATGGGGGTGGGGGGGCCATGGCGATGGCGGTGCCCTCCCCTCTGTCTCTCCCGTTGGCAGATGCTGCTGGAGCCCCGCGGCCGCCCGCCTGCTGCTCACCATGGCCTACTTCTCGTCTCCATGGCAACTGCCCATTTCACGGTGCCCAGACACACAAAGCCATGGCTGTGCCTTCGCAGGCGGGTGGCGGGGACAGGGATGGGGACATTGGCGGGGGGGGGGGATGTGCCTTGTCCCCTCCTCACCTCGCTGTGACCCTGCCCAGCCCCAGCCCCGCTACCTGCGGCTCCGGCGGCTGCACTTTGTCCTGAGCCTCCATCAGCTCCTTGTCGATCTGCTCCAGCCGGGATGCCCGGATCTGTGCAGGAGAGAAGGTGTCAGGGAGAGCTGGGACCCCCCCGGCACCCCCAGACAGTGGGGGGCACGACGCAGGGGTGTCAATGGGCGGCTGCAGCAGGGTGGTTGCAAGGATGTGCATGGCTAGGCTGCAAAAAGCTGAGTGCAAAGCGCTTGGGGATGGGTGCGCGGGGATGCTGCAGGGATGCATCCAGCTGGGTGCAAGGATGCGTGGCGGTGAGGACTGCACAGGGCTGGGGGGGGGGNGGGGGGGAGGTGGCCCCGATGGGAGCAGAGGAGTGAGGTCTGCAACCTGTGCCCGCTGCACCATCTCATCCGTCGTCCCGAAGCGTTCCTCCATCAGCGCTCGGATGTGCTGCGCCTCGAACTGCAGCTGCTGCCGGATGAGATCCATCTGCATGGAGAACTGCAGGGGGGAGGGAGCACAGGTGAGGTGAGGGCAGGACCCCTCCCCCCCCCTGCACCCCATAGGTCCCCTCTCACCGTCTCCACGTGGGGCAGCTCCTCCAGGCGCTTGGACAGGCTCTGCAGCTGTGCGTAGTACCACACCTTCTCCTTCTCCTCCTTCTCGATCTCCCCCAGCAAGAAACACCTGGGGGGGGGGGGGCACAGCCTGGCTCAGCGCTGCCCCATGTGGGGTTATCCCTGTGTCCCCCCCCCACTCACCTCTCCCTGTCCAGCTCCTCCAGCAGCCGCAGCGTGGCCCGGCCGACGTCCCCAGCGCTGTCCCCATGGGGTGTGCCATGCTGTGGGCTGTCCTCCCCGGCCCCCACTGCGACCTCTGGGAACTTGAGGCTGTAGAGGCTGCTCACATCCATCTGCAGAGCTGGGGATGGGGATGGCAGCGGATGGCCGGCTCGATCCGTGGCCCCACATGTTCCCCCCACCCGGTGTGGCACCCACCTTTCAGCTGCTCCAACACCTCCGTCTGCCCCGAGGACACCATCACCCGTGCCTCCTGCTCCAGCTTCCCCTGCAGGTGCTTCAGCACTTCCTAAAAACGCACACATGGAGTAGCAGCCACCGGTGTGCCCCCTCCCACAGCACAGAGCCCCCTGTGTCCCATCTCACCTTCATGTCCGAGGTCTCATTCTCCAGCTTGGAGAGGTGCTGGGAGTTGTCCTGCAGCTCACGCCGGAGGTGGCTGTTCTCCCTGCGCAGCGCCTCCACCTGCCGCACCAACTGCTCGTATGAGGCTGCTCCAGACATCTTCAGCTCCTCCAGGGCCTGCGAGGTGGGGAGGGGGGATTGGGCCGAGGGAATTCCCTGCATCCAGCCCTGGGATGGGGATGGTTACTGCCATGGGGCCCCCAAAGCTCCTTGCGTTGTCCCAAAGGAGCAGACCCTCAGCGGCAGCTCCAGCGCTCTGCTGCCTTTGTGTTGCTTTTGTCTTCTCTGACATTCCACTGCTTTGTTCCCACCCGCAGCACCGCCAACCCTGGGTCCAAATGCAGCCCCCCCCGCCCCGCTGTCCCCCCCCCCCCCATCCCAAATCCATCCACATCCCCTTCCCCATATCACGACCCCCCACCTGATGGGGGGCACCCAGCACTGGCACACGTGGCCATGGGGGGGATGCAGACAGGGATGGTGTCTCTGCGCCCCCCACGCGTTGCTCCGGTGGTGGCAATGGGCACGACGGCCCCGTGCTGCCTTCGTCAGAGCCACATGTGTGCACGAATACGTGTGCAATGGGTGTGCACACTCAGCCTCTCCCTCCCCCCCGTTCACCCCCCCCTTGGCCCCATAATGCAGGGTTGGGGACGCTGGGTGCCTGGGGCAGCGGTTGGGATCGATCCCAATGTGCTGCCTTTGTCTTTTTCCACAGCCACGGTTCTCCAACACCCCATGGAGCCCTTTTGTGCCTCCCCCCCTGAGAGAATGCCCTTCCCACCTCTCCCTCCACACACCCTAAACACTGCAGACCCCACAGCCCTCCCCGCAGCGAGACAAAGACCCCCATGACGCAATGCTTCCCTCCCCCCACAGCACTGCAGGGTGGCAGACAACCCCCTGGGAAGGGGATAAACCCCATGGGGGGTGCTGGGTTTGGGGCTGTGAGGCAGTGGGGTGCTACGAGAAGGAGCCCAGGGCATGGGATGCAGGAGGTGGCTGCAGGATGGGAGGGATGGGATGCAGGGGGAGGGATGCGGAACACTGGGATGCGGGAGGAACAATGGCAGGCGGAGGGATTTCAAAGGATGTGGGACGCAGGTTGACGGTTGAGGGACGTAAGATGAGGGATAGGATGAGGGATGAGGGGTGAAATATGAGGGATGCGGGATGTGGGCTGCAGGATGCGGGCCCAGCACAGCCTCCTGTTGCTATGGCAACGGGAGATGGGATGATGCGGGTGGGTCCGGGATGCTTCCCAACACCCGGCAAGTGGGGATGGATGGCAGTGGGGGATGCAGTGGGGTCGGTGCTGGGGGGTCCCACAGACAGTGCTGTGTCACACTGCAGCCATTCGGAGGGGATGAGATGTGTGGCTGTGTGGGCACCGCCCCACCACACAGCGAGGGAAACTGAGGCACGGATCTGTCCCCCTGGACCCCATCCCACATGTCTGTGGTGACAGCTCTGGCACTGGGGGGAGGGTTGCTGCTGGAGAGGCCAGTGGAGAGCCCAGGGGGCACTGCATCCCCTCCGTGGGGTGAGGACACTATGTGGGATCTCCCCAGCTCGGGGAGGGGCTGTTGGTGCAGCCCCAGGGCTGGGGCACCCTGCACTGCCCACTCTCCCCAGCTTCTGCCCCATTCCTGTTGTGGGGGGGGGGGGTGTCTGGGGATGCTGTGGGGGGCGGGAGGTCTGAGCTCTGAACCGAATGCAGCAGCTCTGGCAGAGCTGCAGATCTGCAGCCAGCGGGGAGGGGCTGCACGCAGCACCTGCAGTTGTGAAGCAGCAGAAAATGGTGGGGAGGGGGCCGGGCTGCGGTGCGGGGCCTGGAGATGCAGCTCTGCTCCCGTGCCCCCCCTCCTGGCCCCCAGACAGCCACGTCCCGTTGGACCCAGTGCTGCACAGTGGCCCCAGTATCACCCACAGGCTCCACGCTCTGGGGCTGTGCTCCCAGTTGGGCACCCCAGGGTGATGCAATGGCTCAGGGCCTTTGGGAACCTGGCTCTCCCAAAACGTGGCAGTGACCCCTCTGTGCTCAGTGCCGGCCAAGAAGGCAGAATTCAGCCAGCAAAGGCCACTGCAGGATTGATGGGTGGGGGAGCAGCAGCAGGATGACCATCGAGCTGCACTGCACTGCACTGCACTGCACTGCCTGCCCTCCTCACCACACTGCCCAACCCATTGCACTGCACTGCTCCTTGCACTGCCCAACCTGCTCCACTGCACCGCTCACTGCAGCACTCCCTGCATTGCTCCCTGCATCGCTCACTGCACCGTGCAGCCTGGGCAGAACCAAGAAGGAGCGTGGGGGCCACGTACCCCACATATCCCCACATATCCCCACACACCTCGGCTCCCTGCAGCCCTATAGCAGCACCGGGGGACAGCAGTGTCACAGCAGGGACGGCCTCAGCTCTGCAGCAGCCACAGCTGAGCCCCGCCGGCTGCGGCTCACAGCCCCCCAGGGACGTTAACCAAACCCTGCTGTTGTCCCCAGCTCCTCCGATAGACACGGCTGTGAGCACAGCCCAGGGGACCCCCAACCACAGCAAACCTTCCCCCCCCCCCAAATCCCCTTCCTCCCCCCCCCTCCACACCCAGCATCCAGGCTGCACTGTGCACACTGCACCTTGCACAGCTCCATGGGGGGGAGAGGGGGGGATGGAGAAACGCAGGGATAGGGGCTCACGCAGGGACACACATGGGGACGTATGTGGGGATGTGCACACGTATGTCACACTCACAGCTCGTGCACAGCTCCTGCCACCCCCCCCCCAATGCACACGCATGCACAGCGCTGCACACACGGATGCTGCATGCACACACGTCACAGACAAAAGCCGAGCTCTGGGGACCCCCCCCCTCCTCACCAGGGACCCCAGTGTGAGGACCCCCCACCCCGGACAGGTGGGGATGCAGGGCGGGGTGCAGGGAGGCAGCCCTGCCGGGGGAGATTTGAAGGGTAAGGGCGATAAGAGCAGGTTTGGGGGGGGCTCAGATGCGGATCAGGGTGATGGCTGGCATTGGAGGGGGGAGCGATGCTGAGACGCTGAGATCCCACCGACCCCCCCCGCCCACCCCCCCACTGCCGCCTCCCACCCTCCGGGCGCAGAACGGGGATGGGGTCGATCCGATCGGTGCCCCCCGCAGCCCGGGGGCCGCCCGCAAATCTCCCGCATTATCCCTGCTTTGTCCCCGCAGCCCCAATCCGCCCCTCCCGCGACACCCCAACCGGGATGGAGCCGCGCCCCGGGGACGGCGGGGATTTGGGGGACGGAAGGGGGGAGATCGGGGGGGGGGCAGCAGGTGCGACCCTACCTCATCCCCGGCCGAGGGGGCGGCGGCGCGCAGGAGGGCGAGCAGCCCGCGCAGCCCCATCCAGCCGCATCCCGGCCCCGCGTCGCCGCGGCTGCGCCGCCCCCGCGCCCCCCCCGACCGCGATCTTCCAGCGGAGCCGCCGCCGTTAGAGGGCAGCAAGCGGGAAGGGAGCGCCGGGCCCCCCCCCCCCCCGAGAGCCCCGCGGTTGGGGGGTTCCATCCCCGCCCAGTGCCCCACAGCCACGGGTTTTGCGGGGTAAAAGAGACCCCCGGGACCATCACAGCCCAACGGGGCGTTTCAGCACTGCGCCATCCCCAGCCGAACGGAGAGACAGCGGCTCTTCCCCCCCCAGGACCGGCAGCAGGGACAGCGGACCCCCCCTCTCCCCGCGTTCCACGCCCGCAGCGTCCCCGTGGCGATGGGGTTTGTCCCATCGGAGCGACGCGGAGCGCTCCCAAAGGACCCCCGGCCCCTTGGGCTGCAGCGAGGGGATCGGTGTCACCACCACGCTGGGACGGAGCAGCCCCAGCTGGCATCACCGCTCCTGGAGCGGCTCCATCAGCTCCCACCCGACCTCTGTACGAACAGAACCGCGGGCGCGGCTGCTGACACGGCCCAGAAATCAGAGGGAAGCGCTCAGCCCCAGGGCAGCCGGCACAGCAGCGTCCCAAACCCGTCCCTGTGGCGCTGGCAGAGGTTTGTGGCAGCCCATCGACTGCAGGATGGGGCCGCAACGGGAACGATTCAAAACAGCCATCGGAACAGCTGACACACAACACGCAGCTAAAAGCATCTGGAATCCCCAATTTGGGACAATAATTCTTTGGAATCCCAGGGGAGCGGCCAGCTGGGGCCACCTGATGGCTGTCCCTGCCCCACGAGGTGCCTTCACTGCCTCTCTGGGCCTCTTTGGGTCTGAAACGCCCCAAAGGATGGAGTAGAACCATCGGCTCCTTTCCCAGTAAGGACTGTGGAATGTCATTATAATCAATCCACTTAAAAACGTGTGCCAGACGTGTTTACCAAAAAGGAGTGCCAGAAAGTAGGTGACAAACTTGGGGAAAAAAAAAAAACAGCAAAATAATGAGGATGGATGGATCACTTATTTAGGAGACCCTGACACAACTCCGCCCCTACGGAACCAAAGGCACAGGGCAGATCCTCCGAGGTCTCCCCCAGATCAGAAACAGCTGGGAGGAATTTCTTTATTTACACAGAGAACGCATTTCCCAAAGCTCTCATTTATTTCAGTGGGATGAACCTGGAGGAGTGGGTGGCACCGATCCCAGGCCGGCCGTGTTTCACTGGCTTGTAGGTGATGGAAAACTCCCCCAGGTAGTGACCGATCATCTCGGGCTGGAAAAGAAGCAGAGCTGGGGGTTAAAGGTGGTGATGGAGAGCAGGGGAACAGAACACATCTCACCCAAGCATCCTGCAGTGCATCTGCTGAAGCCCCACGTGTGTTTTTTTCTGCCTGCAGCACTTAGGAGATGGGGAACAATGTGGCATGGCAGCTGCAGGCAGAGCTGATGGGACTCAGACTCACTCTGCTCCCAGCACTGCAGGATCTGTTCAATATGCTTTCAGGTCGCCTTTTGCAAACAAAACCCTCAGAGAAAACATCACTGAATCCAGGCAGTGGGATCGGGTGGCACCATGTTATTCCACTCCCAGAAACTACTCAGATTCCTTCCACCCCCCCAGGCTTGCACGAGCCTCACCTTGATCTCCACCTGGTTGAAGGTTTTGCCGTTGTAGACGCCCACCATGCTGCCCACCATCTCGGGGAGGATGATCATATCACGCAGGTGGGTCTTCACCACCTCGGGCTTCTCCATGGGCGGTGCCTCCTTCTTGGCTTTCCGAAGGCGCTTCAGCAAGGAGTGCTGCTTTCGCCGCAGCCCCCGGTTGAGGCGGCGGCGCTGGCGGGCGCTGTAGAGCTGCATCAGCTGCTCGCTGCAAGGGGTGAACACGCTGAGGCTGCAGCGCCCGCCCGGAGCCGCTCACGGACCCACCGGG